AGATGGGCATTTCTGGCATTGGGTGCCGATTTTCTTGTGAACGAAGAGTACGGTCAACACACTTTGAAAAATAAGATATACTCTAATACGTACTGAATAAAGACAGAAGACCAAGTATTTTCCCAAGCGTATGAAATCTAGCGTCGGATTAAGTGGTTATGCAATAAATACTTGGCATTTTTGCTCTCTCCGACTTACTAGATTGCCATAGCGATTCACTCCTATACATGTAAACGCCAGAATGGCATAGCGTTTAACGCATTGGAAAAGGTACAACTTGCCCTGCTAGAGCCTGCTAACGCTGTTAAAACCTTCCTGTATACAAGGAAGGTAATATGGCTAGGACTACGCTTCAACCGCCTATTGTTACCTCAGAATTGTGAATCCCAAGTACCAACCTAGGTACCCAAACTATTTTCATTTTATTAAAAATACTCAGCTGATAAACTACCGGCTGGAAGATTCAAACTCAGAACCTTTAGATCGGTAGACGAAAGATGTCTCGCCACCGGGCACTTTTTATTTATTTCCGAATTTTACCAAACGCTACAAGTAATTTTTTAAATAATTTCAAACGTTCATGTAAAAAGATTTAAAAGTAATAACTTGTATGTAATTATATATCGAGAAACTCTGATTACGCAAGTTTGATGTACGCAACTTTTTTGTCTAGGCGTTAAAATGACTTTTTTATATTGTCCTTTGATATTGTCAATCACGTCGCAAAAATTAATACCTTTGTGACCCTTGAAAAAAAAATGATTTACAAGGAAAGAGCCACTAAGCAGGTGTTTTCTGCTTATATTGTAACTCATTTTACAAAAAAAGATAGTTTTTAATTTTCTGATTCAGCAGTGTTTTTAAGAAAACTTGCCATAATGGAATAAATATTACTTAGAACACATCACACAATAGGCATCACCGAATGCCTATAATGTTACGTCAACTAATTACGTCTTTTTTTCTTTTATCGCAAACGAAAATTGATTTTGTTGGTATAGCGTGATACTGACATTAATATCTGTACAGAATAGGTTCGTGTCGATGATAAATTATGCCGTGCAGTTGATGGGGCTTACAATCGAATTACATCGAGAAACCATTTCTAAAAGGCAAGTTCATTAGGACGCTTCGTCTGGCGATATTTTAAATTTATGGATTTATAACGATAAACGACAATATGTTTTCAGTTTTGCAAATTTGGAACAAACATTTAATAAATAATCCAAAAAAAAATTTAAAAAAACTCTACCTACAACAACTGAAAAAAACCTTTGAGACTAATAAAGGAAGGTAATAAAAAAGCAACTAAGAAGAAATGCAACTAAAAGTGGCAACTAAAAAAACTAAAGAAGGCATTAACGGACTACAATCAGCTAAAGGGGGCTAACAATATGTATAATGAACTGTTATACAAGATAAAAAAAACGCTTATACCAGATGGAGTCGAAGCAAAGAAGATGAACATTTAAATAAAAATATAAGTCAAAGACTAAAATTAGCTAAAAAGGTCTAAAATATGAATTCTGAACTATGATACAAGATAAATAGATCGCTTATGACAGGCGGAGTTAAAGTAGGGTTGCCAACTTTCAAAATAAAGATAGGGGACCCCTCGCCTAAATGTCTAAAATTTTCAACAGTTGTGTCAATGGTATGCGATTGATGCTCTTTCTTACTTTCTTAACAATATTTATACACAAAACTTGTTAAAATAAAACAAACCATTTTCAACAAAACTTTTTTTCAAAACATTAGCCAACAATAAGTAAACATAAAATAGTTAAACACGTTTATCGCTTTCACAAATATTTCTTTTACATAAATATTTCTTTGACTTCTTTTCTGTGCAAACGAGTGGGAGTAGCGAAAGACAGCTTAACAATTTTTAAAGCATTGTGGCGATACACGAAAATTTTTTAGATTTTGAGTTTGGTATGTAAAAAAAGAGGATTTTTTCAAGGAGGACAGATCAAAAAGAGGAGTGTCCTCTGGAATAGGGGACGGTTGGCAACCCTAAGTCAAAGTAAAGAAAATCGACATTTACATGGAAAAAATAAAAATAAAGATATACAGGGTGAGTCTTTAATAAGTGCAAATAGTTTTAGGGGTAGCATATTTCGATCCCAGTCTATGAGGTTTTTTTAATTGGAAATTCTTTAAAAAAAAATTTGAAAGAAAATCCAGAAAAGATACGGTGGTTCTCAAAATTTAACCAAAAAATCAAATTTTTTTCTTAAATTTTCAAAAAAACTCGGTTATTTTGGAGTTACTTGAAAAACGGTAAAAAAAATATGTTTCTTTTATGGAGATCTACCAGCCTGAAAATATTTGCACTTATTTAATACTCACCCTGTATAGCTCCTTTTTTGAGCTTTACTGTTAATTGTTCTTTTTGTTATTTCATACGCCTGAGAACTTCTTCGTTTGTTACTTTTTGTACCCATATTCTGCGAATAACCCTTCTGTACAAATACATTTTAAAGGCTTCCAAATTTCTTTCTAGAGTAGGATTAAGTATCCAACTTTCAAAACCAAAGAACTGAGGAAATATAATATCTAATCATACGTATACGACTAAATATTGAACTTAATATTAACCTTCATAAATTTTAATAATTGAAATTACCATTGCGTCTTTCGAATACAGATTCTTTTCCGACACAAAAGGGGTATCATACGTTCATGAGTTATGGTCACAAAATCCATAAAAATTACTATATTTTAAGTTTTTTTATAACTTTTTCTTAAATTTTTAACAGGCTAAAAGGAAACTGTATAAAATATAAATATTATATTTATCGATAAAATTGATCATACGTGATTCTTTAATTTATAGAAATAAGCACTTTTAAATTATCTCAAACTTTCTAATTCTCCAGACAACTTTGCCTGTTTTAATTCAAAATCCGTACTACAGAATATTTTATTTATAAAACATCCTAAATCGAGTTATCCCGTTCTTAAGTGGTGCGCTTGTCAACGAACAGCACTTAATTTTAATTTTAAAAGATTAGGTGCTGCTGGAAATAGTCTTAAGCAGGTTCAAATTTATACAAAATTATCATTATATTTTAAATTTTAACAATTTAATTTCAGAGATTATTAATTTTCGTTTTTAGAAAACCTTATATTTAAGACGCTTTTTGATGGTAACTAATTACAAAATAAGTTTCCCTCCTCTCAAATACTCGTCGAGATTTTTATTGCTTTTCTTTTAAGTCTGGCTTAATAAAAGAACTAAAATGCCTTTGAAAAATAAGACTTTTATTTTTCGACCTTTTTCGATGCTCTTGAACTAATTGGTTTTAAAGAGTTTTAATATGGGTACCAAGAAGAAATTTTGTAACAGACCTTAAAGATTTAAATAATCTATTAGAAAACATCAGTTAAAATTAAGTAGTAATGAAATTAAAATATCAACATTGTTTGTATAAAAAGTATCACTATCTTTTTAACGATTTAACAGAGATTCGGGGTAATGATACTTTAAAAAGCCTTAATATAAAAAATGGCAATAAAGCCCTAATATATAAATTAGGGTTTTTTATCAAAACAAAAGAAGCCTAGAAATACGCCTTAAAAACCTCTAAGTCCTTTATTATACAGTGTCCGAAAATAGTGGGAATTTTGTTCAAGTGCAAACATAAAGTATGTACTAGGATGTATTTCAGGAAAATATTTTAACTTCTACAGTATGGCTCAAAAAAGTGTGTGTGAATCGGGTTGATTTTTTTAAATGGAACACTCTGTATAATATTGCATTTTTGGCGCCCTTTTAGACGAGTTTACATAATCCTAAAATATGAGTAAATATATTTCAATAGTTTAATAAATAAATAAAAAGTATATATTTTTCAGCGTTTCTTGAAAAAATATTAAAATACAAGAACTCTGTTGAAATGAAAACTATACTAGGTATTTACTTCAGATACTCTGTACTTACTTTTCTATAAATATAGTAATCGTAAATCATACAGGATGTTCAAAACTCTACGCCAAACATTCTAAAATATAAAATATTTTTTCTTTGTTCTTTAAATGGAACACCCTGTATATTATTATTTCATTAGATGGAGAATTAAAAATGGACATTTTCTGTATTTAGAGTATTTCAAAATTTTTAACGGTTTCGCCGATATTCGCGGATTTATATTTCGTATGGCATTTTCCACAGTAAATTTTTATCAAAGCCACCCAATTTTTCTCTCGTATTTTACCGTTGAAAGAGCCATATAATACGTGTGTATCTGCAAAACCATTAAAAATTTTGAAATACTTTAAATACAAAAAATGTTAATTTTTTAACCATTCCTAGAAAGAAAAATTTAAAGATTTTTTAAATTTTGGTAATTTTAAAAATTTCAGGAAATTTTGAGAAAAAAATCGCCCCGATCCACTAACACTTTTTGAACCACTTTGTAGATGTTAAAATATTTTTCTGAAATACTTCCTCGTATATACAGGGTGTCCCAGAAATAAGTGCAAGTATTTTAACTGGGAATATAGTTCACACCCCAGAAACACGCCTATGAGGTTTTTTCGCAAAAAAAAATTGGAAATTCGCAAAAAAAAATTTTTGGAAAAATTTTTGGAATTTTCTTTTTGAGTTTTTAGTTAAAAAACATAATTTCTTGATAATATGGCAACATAGGTAGTAGATTAAATTTACAAGAAAGAAAATCCTGAAAAGATCGAGTGGTTCTCAAAATTTTAGCAAAAAATATTTTTTTTTTCAAAATTTTCAAAGTAAAATAACTCCGTTATTTTGGACTTATTTGAAAAACAATAAAGAGAAAATATGTTTCTTTTATCGAGATATACCGCTCCTTAAAATACTTGCACTTATTTCTGGGACACCCTGTATAATAGGTTTGCAGTTAAACAAAATTCTCAAGTTTTTTATTCTAGGAGCCCGACGCACTATTGCAGGACCCTGTAGAAACTATAGATTCCCAACACCCTGTTGTAGGACCCTGTATTACTGTAATATTTATTAGGTTTACGGGGACAGTTCCTGTGATAGTGAAATATCAGACACTCTACGAGTCTTACTCAATCCTGACGAAAACGATTCCATACAAGTTCAAGCTTTGAGACGCCAATTATTACGAAAACTGCAGGACTTAGATGAGAGGGCGTTTAGAAGGTAACAATAAACTAAATTAAATAAAAAAGATAAGAAGAATATTACTTTTACAGAGATTTGGCTTATTTAGCTGCCTGGAGTAATCTACCTGACGAACACAAACGTAACCTTGAAGCGCTGGCCAGAGCTGGTACTTGGTACAAGAACCCACCCGAACAAGACGATGACTCTAACTACAAGCGCAGCATAGCCTACTTGGCAAAAAACGGCCAACCGCCCTTAATGCCACTGCCCTTAGAAAACCAGAAGCGTGGTAAGTAGTAACATCCTATTTATTAGACAGCCGTCGATTGGCTGTTTTATATATTAACTAGCGGTGTACACGCGACTTCGTTCGCGTCGAATTGTCGAACATACAAACTGGATAAAATTTTCTCACAATTATGTCAGCATGAGAGAAAACAATATGGCGATATTATTATACAGGGTGTCCCATAAGTAAGTGCAAATATTTTAACTGGTAGTATAGTTCAACCCCAGAAACACGCCTAAGAGGGTTTTTTCGCAAAAAAATCCGAATTTTCAAAAAAAAAATTTTGGAATTTTTTATAGTTTTTAGTTAAAAAACAAAATTTCTTGATAATATGGCAACATAGGTAGTAGATTAAAATTACAAGAAACAAAATCCAGAAAAGATCCAGTGGTTCTCAAAATTTTTGCAAAAAATAATTTTTTTTGGAAATTTTCAAAGTAAAATAACTCCGTTATTTTGGACTTAAATCGAAAAACGATAGAGGAAAAATATGTTTCTTTTATCGAGATTTACCACCCCTTAAAATATTTGCGCTTATTTCTGGGACACCCTGTATAACTTAGTAATATTTGAGGGGTAGTTTAATCTCGTTGGAACTTGACTTTCGAAAAATCCATTTACCAAAAATAAGTTCTTTATGTCAAGCAGTTTAAGCAGAATCGTGGTTAATCAATTATACCCAATTTTTTGGAACACCCTGTATGATTTTTTAAAAAATTTCAAAATATGTAAAAAACAAAATAAATTATGCGTGTCCAAGCGTTTTCCCGAAAGACTAACCGTTTTTTAAATAACAAATATTGTAAGATTTGAGGGGCGTCTTGGAATTTGAGAATCGAGAAACCCCTCCTTATCGAACCTCTACACCCCACAGTAAATCCGTTTACCAAAAATCAGCTTTAAACATCAAGCAGTTTTGTGATTACTCAATAGTCACATTTTATTAAACACACTGTATAAATTTTTAAAAAATCTTAAAATATGTAAAACAACAAAATAAAATATATACGTGTTTAAGAGTTTTTCCGAAAAACTCACCGGTTTTTAAATAAAAAATATTCTAATATTTGAGGGGTGGTTTCACCCCCTTAGAATTCGAATTTCGAAAAATCCCTTTTTATCAAACCTCTACACCCTAAAGTCAATCCGTTTTCCAAAAATCAGCTTTTTACGTCAAGCGCTTTAAGCAGGATCGTGATTAATCAATGACCAGATTTTTCGAAACACCCTGTATACATTTTTAAGAAATTTTAAAATATGTAAATAAACAAAATAAAATATACGTGTTTAAGCGTTTTTTCGGAAACTTGACCGTTTTTTAAATAAAAAATATTGTACTATTTGAAAGGTGGTTTCAATCCTTTGGAACTGGAATTTCGAAAAATCCTTTCTTATCGAAACTCTACACCCTAGAATCAACCTGTATGCCAACATTGAGCTTTTTACGTTGAGTGGTTTGAGCAGGATCGTGATTAACCAGTGAGTCAGTCACTTAAGGATTTTATATATTAGTATAGATTCCCTTAACTTAAGAACACTTTTAATAAAACTAATTCCCTTAACACTTAAGAACGGTAAACTTATTAGGTTAATAATTCTCATTAGTTTACCATTCTTGGGATTGTCCCACTTAATTATAACTTCAAGTTTGTAATTTTTACAGAATTAATACTAAATTAAAAAACCTTGTGCCAGATAACAATGCGATAATTTTGTTGCAGGTATAGAAGCTTTAGCCAGAAATGGCGACTTACTTCATCGTCAGACCCCTCAAGATTTACGAACTATACTGGAAGCACTCTACGGCAAGAGAAACGTAGCCTATCTGGCCAGGATTTATCCAAATACAAAATACGATAAACGATCCATCAGTAGCCTGGCTAAAACAGGTGATCTACCCTACGCTTATGGCAAGCGAAGTATACAAAGTCTGGCAAGGGATGGAGTATTAGGAAAGAAATCAGGTATGTATTTGTTATATTTCTCGGTCATAAAGATAGTCTATAACCAAAAACTTAAAATTAGAGCATCTTTAGCACTTAATAAGATATAGGTAGGCTTGGTATCGTCTCCGCCGGTGCTGCTACCATCGTAGAATATCGTAAACAACTAGTATATAAAAATACAGGGGTTTAAATAGGGAGTATACGAAAAATGTATTATTTAATTATTCTAAAAGAGTTAGGAAGTATAATTTGTAAAAATTGTAAAAATAAAAATAAAAAAGTAAATATTTTGATATCTTTAGAAGGTCTACTTGTATTATAATTTATTATTCCAGTTAAAAAAACTTTTTGATGAGTTCAATTACGGTAGCGAGCATAGTTTTAATCACCGGTTTTGCTAGTGGGGCATAATTGGGGCTATTTCGGCTATACAGAATTTTTTTAAAGGTACATAATTATAATTTTAGAAGATGTTCATAAAAGATTTAAACACTAGTTGATTAAAAAAAGTATAGGCTTGGTGTATTTCAAGTGATTTCAACAAATACCGACCGCAGAGCTTCAACGGTAGAACTCAAAAATTATCAGTATGTATTTCACGCCACCGTCATGTTGATCGCATTAAAATAATATTGAGATCGCGTGGTTTTGTCATCATATTTAATAATTAAATATTTATATTTATTTTTTTTTATATTTTAGTTTTTTGCTAGTGCAGTTATTGAGACTATAAAACAGTCATGTACGAGGTTTGTGTGATGTAACGCTGTTTCGGGTAGTAAAAAATAATTCGAACTAGGCGTCGTATTGTGCTGTGACAATTTCAATTGCTAATAAAATTGCCGAAAAAACGAAAGCGTAATTAGGGCGTTGTTGTACTATACAGAAAGGTCCACAGACTTCAAGACATAGAAAAAATCAAGTCCATTCAGCGCGTGTCCCAATTTTCACACCTTAAAAAATTAGTTTTTTTATAGCTATAGCAACTGCAGCGACTATGAAAAAAGCTGTGTGGTTTTCATAGAAAATAAGGGCACCTGTAATTCATTTGAGAATGGTATCAATCGCTAAAAGAGGTTTCAAATCTCTTGGATTTCTATTAATATTAAATAAATTTTATTAAAAATTGAACTAAAATTGTTAGTACCATTAAAAACAATTCAAATTCAAAAATTGCATCAGTCAAATTCCCTCATTTAAGGTGAATATTAAAGTAAATATAAATACAGCTCATTCTAAGCTCTACTTATCTTTAAGAAAAATTTAAATCATTGGTGCAATTGGGCCTTAATGCCATTTCGAATGAATAATAGTATTAATAATGTGCATTATAATAATAATAATAAATTTTATATCATAGTGTGTATTAAAACTACTAAAACACTTTTAAATTGGTATTATATTAACAACTTTTGCTTTTTTAATCCAAAAAAAAATAAAAGTAACAAATTTCTCAATCAAAATATTTGTGGTCCTGAAAAGGACCTTTGACAAACGGTAAAAAACAGGATAATGAAATTTAAAAAATTACAAAAATTGTTCAAAAATGCCTCCCTCTTGCATTAAACAATAACCCAAACGATCATAAAATTCCCTCTCCTCACATTAGATAACATATCAGGGGTGACAGTGTCAAAGGCATTAAATATTTTCTGCCTTAACTGCTCCAAGTTTTGAATTTCTTCATGGCCGTAAATTTTAGATTTTATGTACCCCCATAAAAAGTAATTATTCACCGAGAGGTCAGGTGAAATTAAACGTCAGTCTAAACAAAACTGTCATTTTTGAAAACTTGTCAAAATTTGGACACTGACACACGTTAAATCGACTTGATATTCCTATGTCTCGAAGTCTGTGGACTTTTCTGTATATAACATTCAATAACTCAACTTTCCCGGATATTCAACTCTCCCGGAACAACATTTTATAGCTTCATAGTTTCTCACACCGATTTAATTGATTGATTGTTGATTGATGATGAAAATTGATTCAAGCAGATTGACGAAACAAGTGAGTAAACAAAGTGCTCGTTACATAATCAAAAATTTAAATAGGCATTTACTATGAGAGGATAAAATATAATTTGCAATGCGAGATATCTGGTAAAACAGCCACTTTTGAAAAACACCCGGTATGTTCACAATAGTCGAAAATCTATACAAATATATAAAATCCTCACTGATTAATCACGATCTGCTTAAACCACTCAACGTAAGAAGCTCAATTTTGGCATACAGGTTGATTCTAGGGAGTAGAGGTTCGATAAGAAGGGATTTTTCGAATTTTCAGTTTCAAGGGGGTGAAACCACCCGTCAAATATTACAATATTTTTTATTTAAAAAACGGTCAAGTTTCCGAAAAAACGCTTAAACACGTATATTTTATATTGTTTTTTACATATTTTAAGCTTTTTTAAAAATGTATACAGGGTGTCTCGAAAAATCTGGTCGTTGATTAATCACAATCCTGCTTAAAGCGCTTTGACGTAAAAAGCTGATTTTTGGAAAACGGATTGACTTTAGGGTGTAGAGGTTCGATAAGAAGGGATTTCTCGAAACTCGAATTCTAAGGGGGTGAAACCACCCCTCAAATATTAGAATAATTTTTATTTAAAAACCGGTGAGTTTTTCGGAAAAAAACTCTTAAACACGTATATTTTATATTGTTTTTTACATATTTTAAGCTTTTTTAAAAATGTATACAGGGTGTCTCGAAAAATCTGGTCGTTGATTAATCACAATCCTGCTTAAAGCGCTTTGACGTAAAAAGCTGATTTTTGGAAAACGGATTGACTTTAGGGTGTAGAGGTTCGATAAGAAGGGATTTCTCGAAACTCGAATTCTAAGGGGGTGAAACCACCCCTCAAATATTAGAATAATTTTTATTTAAAAACCGGTGAGTTTTTCGGAAAAAAAACTCTTAAACACGTATATTTTATATTGTTGTTTTACATATTTTGAGATTTTTTAAAAATTTATACAGGGTGTTTCATAAAATATGACCAGTGAGTAATCACGATTCTGCTTAAACTGCTTGACGTTTAAAGCTGATTTTGGCAAACGGATTGACTGTGGGGTGTTGACCACACAGTCAACCACGGTCATCGCGATTGACTGATTCGATAAGGGTTTCTCGAATCTCAAATTCCAAGAGGGCGAAAACGCCCCTCCAATATTACAATATTTGTTATTTAAAAAACGGTTAATCTTTCGGGAAAACGCTTGGACGCGCATAATTTATTTTGTTTTTTTATATAGATATTTTGAAATTTTTTAAAAAATCATACAGGATGTTTCAAAAAGTTAGGTAATTGATTAACCACGATTCTGCTTAAACTGCTTGACGTAAAAAGCTCATTTTTGGCAAACGGATTTTTCGAAAGTCAAATTCTAACGAGATGAAACTATCCCTCAAATATTACCAAGTTATATAATAATATCGCTATATTGTTTTTTCTCATGCTGACATAAATAATGTGAGAAAATTTTATCCAGTTTGTATGTTAACGGAAATTTTGCTTTGCTTTATCATCACCATTACAAATGAATAATTCGACGCGAACAAAGTCGCGGATACGTGCTAGTATAGTTATAAAATATCCTTTGAAATAATTATATTACAAATAATATTTTCTATTGCAGATTATATCGATGCACCGCAAGACAAGCGCAACATCCAAGCTATCAAAGCGCAACAGAGGAACAAAAGGCAAGCTGATTATTTCAACAATGAGTTTGTGTATCAACTACCGACCGATTACGAGGACGAGCTGCAGGACCTGGAAACGGCTGCACAGGATGCCTATCCAGTCGAGGACAAAAGGTTTCTAGGTAAGCTAAATTACGTTGTTGTTTATTAATACCCTCCAGTATTTTACTGGAAATATGACATAAATATGAGGAAAATAAATGTATTAAAACGATACTAAAAACACGGACTAATTGTTACTTTATAATAATTTAGATTTCATAACAAATTACATTTCAGTGTTTTATAGAGTCGTCAGTTACATCGTTTGAAGAGCATTTAGAAACAAATAGAGCACAATTTTCTTTAACTATCACTGATTGTTTATTAATTATTGATAGTGCAGTTTTGTATTTTATGTTTAACACATATATTTGGCATACATTTTAGATAGGTAATATTCCTCAAATCCTTTCAAAATATCTTAAACATAGCATTTAAATATCATAAACATTATGACAATTCCTTGACAAGACTTTTGTCACAGCTAACACCTCTGATTTGATCCAACGGAGAACAATACAGGGTGAGTCTTAAATAAGTGCAAATATTTTCAGAGTTAGTAGATCTCGATAAAAGAAACATACTTTCTCTTTACCATTTTTCAACTCAATCCAAAATAACCGAGTTATTTTACTTTGAAATTTTCCAAAAAAAAAGGATTTTTTGTTAAAAGTTTGAGAACTATTGGATCTTTTCAGGATTTTCTTTCTTAATTAAATTTAACCTACTACCTATATTGCAATATTATCAACGAATTATGTATTTTAACTAAAAATTAAAAAAAATCCAAATTTTTTTTCAAAAAATATTTTTTTCGCAAAAAAAGACTCATAATCGTGTTTCTGGGGTCAAAATATATTATATATATTAGTCGGTTTAGAACGTTGTCCGATACCCAATTTCCAGCCTGTTCTATTCGTACAATCCTCTGTTGACAGGTTTCTTTCACTCATCGCTTTATGTACGCTTCTTTGCCATTCCAGTTTCGGTCTTCCCTGTTTTCTTTTGCCCTTTGGTTGCCAGTTGATTATTTTCTTGGGCCATCTAGTGTCCTTCATTCGCTCTACATGTCCGTACCAAATCAGCTGCTTTTTCTCTATATCCTGTGTTATCGTACCTTCTATACCCATTTGTTGTTTTATGGTATTATTTCTTATTCGTTGTTGTCTTGAAATTCCCATTGATCTTCGAATGATATCCATTTCTACGGCCTCTATCCTCTGCTTGTATCTCTCAGTTATTCTCCATGTTTCTCTTCCATATAGGAGGTTGCTCTTTATCATGGTTTCATATATATTGAATTTTCTTCGCTTTGTTATTGACTTGCTCCATAAGATTCCATTTAGACATCCGATTATTTTATTCGCGTTGATAATCCTTTTCTCTATTTCTCTGCCGTCAGTTTCAGTGTTATCAAATATAATTCCCAGGTACTCATACTCTTGACACTGCTTAATTTCGTGACCATTGTCCAAGTTCAAGTTTCCTTCTTGTGCGCCTATACATAGATATTTTGTTTTGGCTATGTTAACTGTCAAGCCCCATTCTCCGTATTCTTCAATAAGTTTTCTTAGCATATATTGCATATCATCTTTGTCAGTGGCAACTATTATTTGATCGTCTGCGAATTGAAGTGTAAACAAACATTCATTGTCAATCTCTATGCCCATACCACGGATCTTTCTTTTCCATTTTTTTAAAGCGACTGCAACGTATATTTTAAAGAGAGTAGGGGAGATGCAACAACCTTGACGCAATCCTTTGTCGGTTATAAATGTTTCTGTAAGCTCTTTTCCTACCTTTGTTTTTGATTTTGCGTCCTTATATAGTTCCTTAAGAGCTGTTATATAAGTATGGTTGATTGTAGATTGTTCTAGTACCCTCCATAGTCTTGATATTGGAACAGTGTCGTACGCTTTCCGTAAGTCAACAAATGTTATATGTGTGTCCAAGTTTCTTACCGATCTTTTTTCTATAACTTGTTTTAAACAGAACACGTTATCTGTACACGACCTTCCTGCTCTAAAACCATTCTGTTCTTCTTCTTCCTTTTCTCTATAATCTTCTTCTATGAGATCACGTAAAATTCTACCATATAACCAAAATATACTACCCTTAAGAATATTAGTCAAAATATACTACACTTAAAAATATTTGAACTTATTTCAGACTCACCCTGTATATAGAAAAAGTAAGAAAAAACTTTTTTCAAGAAATTAACCCGCCGCAAATTTCCTATATGCGTCATTTTGCGTAACATGTACAGGGTGGCTCGAATTCGACGCTCATCATTGGGATTTCGGAAACCGTAAGAGATACAGGATCGGTTAAATGGAGGAAAAGTTGCGCAATTTGACGTTCAATAAAATGCCGTATTGCATTTTGAAAAATTCCGAATACTTCCGAATATATTCGCAAGATAACTTAAAATGAAAAACACATTTTCATGGCCACTTTTTCTGCTCTATAACTCTGTGTGATTAAATATTAACTCTGACGTTTTGGCTTCTGGCGACCATCATCAACTTAATTTTTTTAAATACGGACCTGATTTTTTTTTCAATTTAATTAAATCCTTTCATCACTCTTAAAACACTATATATATTCACTTTGATATTTGCCGACGTTTCGTAGAGAAAATTCCATCACCAGAATATTTTATGCAAAAAATAAAAAAAAATAAAAATGTAATACGGCATTTTATTGAGCATCAAATTGCGCAACTTTGCCTCCATTTAACCGATCCTGTATCTCTTACGGTTTCCGAAATCCCAATGATGAGCGTCGAATTCGAGCCACCCTGTACACAATATAGATTCAAGTATGAAAAACAAGTAATGAAAGTATGAAAAACTTTGTTTTATAAAAAATACCGTATGATCGAAAAAAAACGGCGTACAGTTGGCTTGGAAATGACGATCGATGACATTTCTTATACAATTTTACATATAAAATGACAGCGATCTTCGTTTCATAGCCATCGCTGACGCCGTTTTTATTCGATCATACGGTAGATTTAGTCTTAACATGACTTCGCTTGGGATTACAACATAAATTAAAAAACTGCCGAATTCATTAAAAAATTATTAATTCATTAATAAAAAATGGTGTGTTTTTGAACCGCAACTTCTTTACGCGCGCTGGGTATAAAAATACACGGCCGTGACACACAGGCGCGGGACAAAAAATGGTAAGGAAAGCCTACGGCTTAGAAATACGTAGTATAATACGTGTATTTGTGAGCAATCCACGTGTTTATCAAAAATATTGATATTTTAATACAAAATTTGTAAAAGCGAATAAAATGATTTATTATTTTTTTATTTTACGCGTAAAAAACTATTTGTTACAGGTAAAAACTATTTTTTACGTGTAAAAAAATATTTGTTACACGTAAAAAATATATTTCTTACACGTAGAGAACGATTTTTTAGGCGTAAAAAATATTTTTTAATTTATTACTTTTGCAACATTTCAAACTACACTTTATCAAACATATCCTTCAAGTTTTTTAAATTTAAATTACACTTCATTTTATAGGACGTACAAGTAAGTTTTGAAATATTTATTGTTAATTTGTTTAAAATTATATATACCCGTTTTTTATATTTATCATTTAACATTTTTTACCGTTTGTCTCCTCCTTTTAAATTCACCTAAAAACAAACATTAAAAATGTCATAATGTAGATTTAGTCTTTTAATAAAATAAGAAAATTGCGTATTTTAATAATAGATAATTTAATTTTTATAGCTTATAACGGTAGACATAAAATAGTGGGCCAATGACAAAATTAAAAAATTAAATTAATGACAAACAAATAAAATTGGATTTAAAATATTAGAAGTTTATTATAAAAATCATAAAAAAATTATTATGAAAATTATTATATAAAAATCAGGGTTTGTCTAGAAGAGCATTGGTATCAAGTCCAAAATTTTAAAATACAGTTACCCTAAAAAAATCTTAACCAAAAAAACTAATTATTAACCAAAAAAAAACTCTGAAAAAATGTTGAGGAATTCAAGAGAAAAAATATCAAAGGGGCATAAATAATGAATATTAACTGATCAAAATAAAATAAAACAAAATAAAACATTAAATCACCACAGACTGTCAGTCTTGATTATCTGCTGATGATGCTAACATGGTTAGCGAAACGCGCGTCCAGTGTAAAAGTAAAAGTGTTTTGGTGTATTGTGGTGATTTAGTGTTTTATTTTGCTGAGTAACACCAAAGGTACCAACTCCCAACTGTAATTAACTCATACAAGAAATATTATATTATAATAAATATTACTAATTAATAATATTGTACAAGGTGCCCCAGAAATAAGTGCAAGTATTTAAGGGGTGGTAGATCTAGATAAATGAAACATATTTTCTCTTTATCGTTTTTCATATAAGTCCAAAATAACGGAGTTATTTTACTTTGAAAATTTCGAAAAAAAAATATTTTTTGCTAAAATTTTGAGGACCGCTGGATCTTTTCTGGATTTTCTTTCTTGTAAATTTAATCTAATACATATGTTGCCATATTATCAAGAAATTATGTTTTTTAACTGAAAACTAAAAAAATTTCAAAAAAATTTTTCAAAAAATTTCGTATTTTCAAAATTTCGTATTTCGCGAAAAAAACCTCATAGGCGTGTTTCTGGGGTCGAACCATACTACCAGTTAAAATACTTGCATTTATTTCTGGGACACCCTGTATAATATATGACTATTACAACATGACGAAAAGAAATAATATTTTGTTAATAATATTCCGAAAGACCACAGTTCTAATCAAAAAATTAGGGATTTTTTGGACCAAATAAAATTAATTATATTATCTTCAATTTAAATGAAATTGGAATTTAAATAAAAATAATGACATAGAGAAAAGAACGATTTTTTATTATTTAGAGAATAGTTAATCATAACCAGTTTTGGATTATGAACCAAAAATGCCTCTTTATAAGCTTTTAGACAATTAAAAGCAAATAACAAAAAAAAGAACAAAAAAAATGAATTTGAAAAAGTAGTAGTAAAAGAGAATAAATTTTTCACAATTGTAATTCAAAATTTATTTTTCTATT